CTCTTGATGCGGCTGCGCACACTAAGTGCATTTTGAGCAGCACCGAACTCTTTGGTTCCAAAAGTATTTCGACCGTCTTGAAAAACGGGCCAGCCGTTACGGTCAACTGTTGGGCGATTGAAATGTGCAGTTTTTAGGGCTCGCCTTTTCTAACCCGTCCTCACTCGGGGGAAGGCATCATCGCTGCTTCCATAAATATGCATATGCTGGTCGCCTGGGGAAACACCTTACTGCCTTCACACTCCTGTTGCAGAGGACAGTACGACTTTACCTCCAGGCCGCCTCGTAGCACGATTACTCGTAGTACGGGGTCTCGCTGCTCTTGGTCTGGCTGCTCCCCTTTGGCCTTCCTGGCATGGTTTCACCTGAACGAACGAAGTTTCAGCCAATGTAGCCCGCGGGATCATTGCAGCACTGAAGCCCGACCACCACGTCAAGGTAGCAGCTTTAGGGCTGGAAGCTTACCACGTCAAGGTAGCAGCTTTAGGTCGGGCTGGAAGCTTGATGGATCTTAGATCGGAATATGGAAGAAGCGAGAAGTGCCGAAAAAGTCCACACGTTTTTCCAACTGATTCGTTCGACTGGTCCCCGGAAGCCTGTCAGTAAAACCATCAGGGCCATTTGCTTTCGTAGAGCTTGTTGCTTCCTTCAAAACACCATTTTCAGGAATGGTACTGCATATGGTGTATTCTGTAGAAACGGTATTGAACATGCGGTGGTAGTCGCTTTGGTAGCTTCGCCTCCGTTTACTTGTTTTGCTACTTCGAATAGTCATCATTAGATCGGCCCTCATCACTGCAGACTATTGTTTGCAAAAGATCGCATCACCAGTGGGACGAAGCAAATATAGGCCGCATAAGTGGAAGGTTACCGCCACTCAGCATAAATTGGTATGTGCACTTCCAATGCACCGCGACTGTTTCGACGGAACTAGATCATTGTACTCAGTCGCTGGAACACCCGATGGGCACATCGCGTGTGCGCTTGTTTCTCGTGTGTAAGCGAGTAGTCCTTAACAGCTCCTCATAGAGATGCTTCCCGTAACGTTGACATTGACACTACCTACTGCGTTGGAAAACGTTGGATCATTGGTCAATCAAAGGAAGCAGTGGTGAAGTCCTGATGGACGACAGCAGTCTTTCACGGAGTCTGCTAGTGAATCACGACGCGAACGCGGTATGGATCACATGATACGAACAAGTAGGCGCGGTTGTCAGGAAGCTCGAGAACAGTATACTAGTCCCGCGTTCTGATGATAATCGAGACCAAAAGTCTACAACGACACCACGTGCAACAAGTGTGTAGTTGGGAATTCCACTCCGACCTGAATGAATTATCAGGGCAGTACTGAACTTTTATATTTGACCCGTGTTTATACTGTGAGGCCATACCGCACATGGTGATAAGCTCAACTGAAATCCAAACATCGAAAGTATATATCCAGCGCAACTAGTGTACGTATTTTTCGATGTATAGAGCAAGCGGATATCTTCAAAGAGGTTATGTGACTCACCACTTTCATGCACAGTTGATGGTTTGCTGTACACAGCTACTGGACTAGCTGTACCAAAAGCGTCCTGGACTCGGGTAGTCAGCAGATTGGTAGGATTAGTGAATTCAGGTAGTCTTTCAAAAGCTCAGATTCAACGTGTGCAGCAGGAGTGTTTGTTGCATCTTTGCCTCATCTGTCCTCATTTTGAAAAAATGCAGTTTACAGCCTTTTCTCTAATGATTAAACTTGCCAGTGAGATCGAGGTAGCTCCGGCGGTCAAGGTGCGAGGCTACTGGCCAGAAGGTTGGAACTCAATCGTGGCTTCTAGAAATGGCCTGAGACGACTCAGTGGTTACGGCGTTGGCAACTTGGCAGTATCTCTTCTCTCGTGCTTCCTTCGGGTAGCATAGCAGCTAGGCGCCAAAAAGGCTTTTCAACTAGACCATTCTTTATTTTTTCATCTTGTGGTTTCTCGGCTGCTTGTCTAAGCTTTCCAGTTCGGCAGCACCACAGTCGCCTTAATATCTGAGGCTCCAGACAGGCGGGTCAATCGATCGGCACAACCAGGACTTTTGCTGAGTCCTCTTCTGGGCCCATCACGTCGTTCAGACCCAAACACGCTTGCCTATCCAAACGTCATGATTCGAATCCACCAAGCCTGTGCCGGTGGACGGTAGTAACATGCTGATCTCATATCAAGATAATGTGCAACCTGTCAAATGATAGTGCCGTACGATGTTATGTGGGTAGTCAGTTAGCAAAGATAGGTCAGTGTCACCAAGGCGGATGTAGAACGCGTTGAACTGCAATCAGTTTGTGGTGTTTGCCTTTGGATTGAGGCATCGCCTCAGCCCGCAGTTCCTAAGCTGCTACCATCCTGTGACTTCATTGAAGTCAACTTCTTGTTGCATGATTTGCTTGAATTAAGGGAGACATCGTTGGCGCCCGCTCCAAGTAAACCTTTTTCAGATGATACCTAAAAGTGGTGTAAGCCGACCATATGCCCATCAGTAGGCCAGTGTTAAAAACCTCACAGTCCCCCTAACAAAAAGTGAGTCAAGTCTTGAAAAAAAAACTCGCAACAGCAGTGCCGACTACATGCAAGAGGACTGACGATAGGTCATCTTGAATTGTCTCAGATTGCTTGGTACTAGGATTGCCTTCGCGTCAGCATGCGTTTGTCCCCCAGGTAATTTGAGGGGAGACCTTGTTCATGGGACTCTAATTTCATCTTGTCACAAAATAAACGTCACAGTTGATGCACGGCGTTACGCTTAATGACTTTATTGTATGTTTTTTACGTTTCGCAGAATAACGAAACCCCAGACATGAAGAACGAGTCCGAAGCACAGAACCTGTGTAAGCGGGGCTGTGGATTCTACGGAAGTGTACAATTTCGAGACATGTGTTCCAAATGCTATCAAGAACAAATGAAATCGGAGTCATCCAGCATTCAAACAAATTCATCCTTGGTCCTATCCACATCCTCTGTAGAATCGAATGACGTGGCCACGTCGCACAACACCTGCGTAACAATTCCTTCCCGTCTGGATCATCCAGCCAACTCCAATCTGAGCGGAGCGGCAAGTCTCAGCGCCACACCACTGACTATGCGCACCGGTTCTGCAACCCCTCTCAGACAGCACTCTCCTCGTCCACTAAAGCGCAAGGCAGCTTGTCTATCGCCACAAATTCCTTCCGAAGAAACCAATGAAGGTTCTGTCTTTTTTTTCTAAAAAAGAGCACTTCTAGATGTGGTCACCAGTGAGACTTGTTTTGTGGCCTCTGGTTTCAGTCAGTAGGTAGTTATTTGTCCAGGTTTGCTTAGCAGCATATCTTAATTTTTGTCAGTAACCGCTGTCGACTAGCCCCACTGGGATCGGGGCTTGAAGCTTTGTCCTTCATCTCTGGCTTTATTCGTATAATATGAAGTTTTCACGTCAGGTTAGGAAGTCGCCATTGTAAGGTCATGCTATACCTATTCGGGATATATGCTGTCCAAAAACAGAATCCCGTTGGTTTGATCAGGTGTTTTGCTGCGACGACGCATATGTCATTTCCATACACTCAAGGTCATTGAAATAGTGGACCAATTCAGGCGTTCCCGTACAGCAGTTTTTCTTACTTGACATTCTCATCTTGTCGTTTAGGTACTTCCGCATCTCCGCAATCATCGTTGCGTATCAACCGTTGCACCTGGTGCAGAAAGCGCGTCGGTCTTACAGGTATGTACTTCTTTTATCCATACGTTTTGTCCCCTAATTGCCGCCTTATATGATTTCATCCTAACTTCAAATTCAGATTCACTCCCGAAATCTCCTTACTTTGAGGACGTTTTTCTCCAAAAATACATCAAATTGGAAAAGAACCAGCAACCTTGGTGGTGTGATTAGGCGAATTAAATACGATGTTGCTTTCACTGTACGGTTCTAAACCTTTTTAGGGTCTGGTAGCATTGCAACCTGTTGAGCCATTCTTTCCGCTCCCTCTTCGTGATGATTTGACTCACGTGCTGTTCCTTGTTCGCGGTGTAGTACGGTTGATCATAATTTGTTAGGGTAGTCCACGAATTGGAGTCACTTCTGTTACTTAAAGTTCTACTTAGGTAGTCAACTACAGATACAGAGATGAGGGTGTTGTGCACACTCACACCCGAATTCCGAACATGTGATACCAATAAATTTGGGCGTTGATTTTACCGAAACGGGTTCAACATATGCTTTGGCTAGGTTAATGTGCCGTTTACTGTCGTGTTGTTTAAAGTGTTTGGGCCGTTTAACGCAAGACAATGAAATCAAGGTGATGTGGGGCAAGATGCCCTCACGCATGTGGTGGGACGCCGCACCCGTACTGATTGACTGTAAGCCCGACTGCTTTTGGCAACGCGGCAGCACCTCAATCCCCATGCTCCCTTCATCATCATCATCATTGTCAGCTGTAATAACCGCGTACTCGTCGTACAGTGGTTGTAGCTGCCGCAGTTCCGTTCACCGATGATTTGGGGGGGGAGGGGTAGGTAGCTGCGCATTGCAGGCGGGAGCTGATAAATTGGTGCATAAATCCAGCACTGTCAGTGGGTTGTCAAGTGGGGGGG